TTTATGGTTTATACAAATTTCTCAACTTAATTAATCAAATACTATATCTACAACTTGGCTTTCTCTTAATTTACCTTCTATAAATATCTTCATTAATACTATTTATCTCTTACCTTCATCTTTTCTTTCTAATCCTTCTTCATCTTTTCAAATTTCTTATACAAATAATCAACAAATTTATCTTTCTCACCAAATTAATCCTACACAACTTAATATCTACAAAATTACAAATTCAACACCTGGTCTTATCTCACTTACTTCCTTTATATTACCATCTTCAACAACTTTTCACTCTTTTAAACTTCCCTATAATCAACTCAAGTTGCATAATAATCAATTACAAATTGATAATCAAGAAATTTTAGCTCTTATTCAAATTAATAATCATTCATTAGTACCAACTACTTTATTACCTCATCCTCAATTAAATATATTCTCTTATAAAGTCTAACTTATTCAACAAATAGTAAATTCACCTATCTACTAAAATCAATTAATTTAACTCTTTCATCTTATAAATAACCTTAATCATAATAGTTTAGAATTTTATACAGATAGCTCTATTAAAAATATACAATCTCCAAATATTCAAACTGGCATAGGATGGGTTTGCAAATCTCATGTCACTATTTACTTTAATGCTAATACTCATTCATATCCTGACTCTATTCGTATTGAACTAGAAGCTATCTTTAGTCTTTTTCTTGCTTTGTCATCTAACTCTTCTATCAATATCTATATTGATAACAAAACTGCAATCAAGAACCTACAATCTACCTTTCCTACCAAGCTTATACAAAACAAAAATTGAAATATTATCTTTTCTATAAACTATCTTAAAAATACAAAAAACATCAATATACAACTTCATAAAGTCAAATCTTACTCTAATAATTTCTTTCACAATCAGGCTGATTTACTTGCTAAAAGAGGATGTTTCAAAGCAAATATTTCATTTTCTCTTCCATTTCTTCCAAATCATTTTTTATGGAATAATCATCTAATATCATTCAAAATTCGTATTTTTATTAAAAATACTATTACAATTCAAGAACTTTCAAAATGGTCTATGCTAAAGTTCATTAAAAACATTCCAGAAATTAAATGGGCCTTAAACTTCAAAATATTAAAATCTTTAGAACATGATATATTTAAATATTCTTTTTGTATTAAAATTCTTATAAACAATTTCCCTACTATGAAAAATCTTAATATCTGCTACCTTCATCTTTATAACACATCAACATGTTCTCGATATCCTAATCTTGAAAACACTCTTCATCTTTTTATCTGCCCAAATAATAATATTAATCTCACATATAACCTAATTAACATAATTCAAACAACTCTAACAACTCTTCAAATTTCTAATAATTTTTCTAACACTCTTCTTAATATTTTACTAAATTTCACTGCAAACTCTCCTAATCTACACTACCTCTCTATACTGCATGCAATTACTAGCACCTTTTCTACTACTATATACAACAATATCAAAATATTACTTAACAAACATACTGACTCTTTTCTTATCAATCTTTCTAATAATCTTTTATCTTGGTACTGTCAAGAACTATGGTCTATTCATAATATTCATCAACATCAATGGGAACTCTCTTGAAATATCACTGCTAAAGCTAAACGCACAAAATCTTACTTTCCAAATACATTTACTTTCTCAAATAATTTCTTAATTATAATACAACCTTTAGATATTAATCTCTTTATTAATAAATGGCTCTTACAAGGATATGCTTTAACTGCATGCTTTACTTAATGCCATGACTATCACCTTAGGTCTCCTCCGACCTATCCTAGCTAGAAATTAATTTGAAATAATTAACTATAGCATTTTATAGGAAATAGGTGGTGTAATATCACATTGGGTGCCTTATATAATACAAATGTAGTTAGAAATCTTTAGGTTTAAAATTATTTTTCTATTTGTAATAAAGTTTCTACTATGGCATTATATTAATAAAAAAAAATAATAATAATAATTTAGTAATTTTTTTTGTATTTTAATAATATGTAGGCATGAAATAATACTCATTGGCAGCATTTTAAAAATTGAGTTGATTTTAAAATAGCAGTTAACATAAATATGTTAAGTATAATATATAGATTTAAAGAATGATGTTTGATTAATCGAAGTATTAATATATTATAAAAGATATTAAGGACATTATATTATCTAATCGTTATTGTGCATATGAATTCTGTACCAGGTTTGTGACACAATTTTACAATTAACAAAAATTTTTAAGTTCATTATAATTAAGATTAGCATTTAAACTAAGGTTAGAGATTAGATAACTATATTGTAAAATCACTCAAGGAAGTCTTTTTGTTAGAGCATTAAAGGTGGTTTTTTATGCATATTTTTGAGAAATAGGTGATTTTTAACAAAACAACTGTTTGTTTTGGAATTTGCCAATCATATTATGTTATACATACTGTGATTTTAAAATCTGATTTGCAGATCTAGTATCTGCACCAAAATGAATAACAAAACCTGGCAACAAATTCATATGTACATCATTATTTGAATTATTTTTTTTTTAATATTAAGGTGACCACTTTGGGGTCTGGCATGTTTTATTAAACTTTGATTCGAATGTCAGAGCAACCTACATGGGCTACCTCTAACTTTGTGATATTAATGAGGGTACAACTAACCATATATATAACTTTTAGTTGTCTATTTAAGCAGTCTTGTATACGTAACCTATATGAACTACACTAGCTGCTATACCTATAACCCAACTAAGAGGATTATCTATTTAAACCTTCTGATCAAATTAGGGCTGTCAGATATTCTCCTCAAAGAGGAACTGCTGGAAAGGCCCCTTAGGACTTTAAAGCGGACACACACTACCATATAGAGGTTTTTTATCCTTATAGTAAACCTGCTAGCGCCTTTTATACCCACAAATTCGGCTGACCTAGACTTTCAGTAACTTATGCCAAGTCCAAGAACAAGTACTTTTACCCAGTGTTGTCACGCAAACATGGACACGAACATAGACCGGACCGGACCGGACATCCGCATTCACGTCCAAAGAAAAGAATGTCCGGCAGACATTGTCCATAAATCGACCAATCAAATGTTTGGACATTAGACGATGTTCATGACAATCTTATTGGCTAAATATAGTAAGGCCTCCTTAAATGCCAAAGCACGTTCTCACATGTCTTCGTTTGGGCCCAACTAATTTTATGTTTATAGATTTTTACCTCTCTAAATGCAGTACCTCTCTAAGTGCACATTGACTAAATTTTTACATAAGGTCCAATCGCATTGCAATTAGAGAGGTCTGACTATATTTTCATTTCACGTTTTACCACTATTTGCTAACCCATTATATAATTACAGCAGTGTTGTCATGCGGACACGGACACGTTATTATATTATTTATAGCTGTTTTCATATTTCTCAGAACGCCTGTAAAAAATTAGCCGAATGATTTTTCAGCCGATCCAGGTAAGTTATTATTTCGTCATAATAGATTCAATAACAATTGGTAAGTACGTAATATATTATTAGTATACCGAAATAATAACTTAACGGTTCAACTGAAAAATCATTCGGCTAATTTTTACAGGTGTCCCAGAAATTATGAAAACAGCTGTAAATAGTATAAAGAACATTTAAAATAAACTATTACAGATCTAAGTTATTCTTGTTAAATAGTCGGTAAGTATAAAATTTATTTCATACGTGCGATTCTAGCATAACAACTTTAGCGGGCTCAAAACAAACAAGGTTTGCTGATTCTATAATATGCCAATAGTGGATTTCTTTATAAACCTTTTTATCAGAAAATTAATTAAACCACTTTTAAATATTTGAGATTTTAGACAACCTCATAATGTGGTATAGATATAAGCAATGGTATGCAATCTACACCTCAGATCTAAGATTGTCTAAAGAATGATGAAAATGGATCAGAAAAAACTATGGAGTCTTACCTTATATTGCATAGAAGATTTTATCAAAAGTTTATGCCAGCTGATGGTATTTATGGCTTCAAAACCATCTTGTCGGGTATGTCAGCTGGATAAAGATCTTTTGGTAGTCATCAATTTCATTATAAGCCTGCAGCAAAAAGTGCAGATTAAATTTGCCTCTAGAACTTTGAATTTGCCAGTGCTGCTCATTTCACCACAATCATCTCAACGACAGCTTATTTAGCCGAAATCATATAAGATTACAGTTAAGGTTTAAATAAATTGTTGCTTGGCATGATATCAGCTAACCGAGCTGTCGGTGAAATGATTGTTGATGAAATGATCATTGATGAAGTAAGGTGAAGTCCTGAATCTTTACGTTGAATTAGCTAAGCGACTGTGGTGTTAATAATCAAATTCAAAAAAAATTCTTAGAAGCAAATTAAAGGTTAAATAATTGCAAATTATCTTATCAGTATATTCTGATTTTTCGTATACTAGCAAAATTACCAGAGCCTAAAGGATATTGCGTAATTAAAAAAAAATAATAGTAAAGATAAATTAATAAGAGAACAATAAATAAATAAATTAATTAAAACAAATACAAATTAAAAAAAAAAACTTTAAATTGCAAAAAATAAATTTTTTTTAAAAAAATAAAAAATAATGAAAATAAATAAGTTAATTAAAAAAAAATAAATTAGCATTATATATTATTTGACCCAGGCTAATTATAGTGATCGAAAGTAATAGCATTAGCCGGGCCTTAGTAAACATTGTTTTGGCATGTATATATGTACGTAGAGACACTGCTGACCAATCATATGTTTGTTAGACATACTACGAATTGTACTTGACAAAGATTTACTTTTTTATTATAAAGTATATACAATACATAAAGTAACAAAAGAAATAAAATGGTAAAATAAACTTTATGTTTTTCAATCTTTTTTCAATTACACAAATTTGAAGTTTTCGGGAATCAAAAATGAATTTTGATGAATTAATTGAAATGAATTTTGAATAAATTGGTGTTGTAAAGAAGTTTGTCATTGGGGAATTAAATATTGATCTGTAATAGTTGGATGTTTAATTTTTAAAACATCATTGTAATATTCTCGAATGACCTTTGACCACTTATTTAACCATTCTTGTTTCTTATTAGCAGGAACTCCGAGATACTCGTTAAAGGTATCTTCTACTTCTCTTTTCAAGTAAAAAACCAAATGAGACGCGGCTGATAATTCACGCACAGAATAATCTAAGTAGCTTCCTTCAAGCTGTGCGTAATCTACTGAATGTAATGTTGAAATGAGCTCGGATGGAAAATTATTCTCTTGTTCAAGTGTCAAATGGCTATATAAATCGAACTAAATTAATTATAATATTTGGCAATATGAGAACCAATGTTTTTAGCATTTACCTTATTAACTCTGGTTCACGACAATATCTACAAATTTTAATTTTTAGTTCAAGGATTAATGCGAAATCATCGACATGTTGATTGCAAATTTGACATTTTTTGCATATAAAGTTTAAAAAACAATATTGCTGTTTGGTCACATGAATGGGGCAAGAATGATTATGATTTGGTTGTTGTTGTTGAGAAACCCTCCACATGGTTTGTGTACTATCTAACCATAATTTCTTATACAATAATTTTTCAACTTGCATCAGAGAAAAAAATAAATCTTCTGGAGATAAATACGAGCAAATCTCCGATAGAATTTCATCATTTGATATTAAATCCTTCCAAGGTTTCACATCGTAAATTATTTCAGATATTCTCAATGAACTAGAATCTAATTTGGTTTCAAGAAGTTAGTTAATTTACATATGTCATGAAGATAGGAATATAAATTGAAGCATCACCTATTTCGTATTTATCTCGATATGTATCAAATAATCTTTTCATTCTTTGAAAAAAATCCAATAATCCTCCATCTACTCTGGTAGTGACTGCCATTCTATATCCGTAATATATTACGCTACGCAAATCTGTATTTTCATTTCGTAACATTCTATTTTCGTTTCCCAAACTCGTGATTTTGTCATTAAGCAGTCTAGCCTTTTTTTTGAGTTCTTCGATTTCATCAAGACGAGATTTATATTCATTGAAACTAATGTCAGAACGTTTAAGTTTACGCTGAAGATATTTCACATGTCTATCAAGAAAACTAATCGTAGCCTTTTCGATATTGAGATTATTGGAGCGAAGATGCCGTTTAAACTCTGATTTACGAGTCATAGTTTTTGTTTAAAATATTAGTTTCAAGAGACATATTTCATTGTTTAAATAAGAGTTATATATAATTAAGAAATATATAAAATAATATACAGTATTAAATAAAATAAAATAAACACGTAAATTGAGATATACAAGTTTTGGTTTAAACCACACATGGTTATTTTAGTTTGGATTTGGCTTAAACTGAAATAAGCCATATATGCTTACAATTTGTAGTACGAAGATGTTATAATTTGACTTGAACAAGATACTAAGCGGTTTATAATTTAAATTTATACTCGGTTAAATTAAATTACAATATACTGATACGAAAGAATTATATTACGTATACATATACGAAAGTTGAATCAAATTGCCTGAAGAATGTGCCATACATTGATAATCAAAAAAATAGTCATGTACACAGTTTCGGTCGTTCATGTACACAGTTTCGGTCGTTCATAAAATTTCTCTATTCCTTGATAATGCATACTTGTCGCAGCTGGTGATTTCTATTCAATAGCTGTTGATTAAGAAAATGACATACATGGGAAGATGGTCATACTGTTACAATAGCATTAATATTTAGAATTTTCTTATAATAAATCTTTAATTTTGAAAGAAAAAATTTTATCATTTCTTTATAACGTGATTGAAAATATTATACGCTTGAAATAAATTTTAATAAATACCCATTTACTAAGTCTATTTTGCAACTTAAACTTCATTTTTCAGAATTGACCGCAACATGCAACCTTATTATCAAACTAATATCTGCTATTATCTCTTGTCTAGCGCACCTTAACAATACATAATTATAATTGGCCGAAGTGTAGCTTAGGACATTATACTTCTAGGCATTTGGATTTGAACAATCACGAGATGCAGATAAAAATTCGTACCATATACAATAACGCGTCATTCTTGAAGTAAATTTTATAATTTTGATAATGCATATAATCCGGTTTTCATTCTTGAAATCGAAGTATTTTAAAAACCGGTGTTTTAAATATATATTGATGAAAATCATATAATTTCTATAATTTGACATTAGCGTTACATAAAACTGGAATTGAACTTAAAATTAGAGTAGTTTTTATATTGGTTCCAAATTTGGCTTAAATACATAGCAATAGAATTTGTAAATTTTCATAATATACAAAAATTTATTTGATATCGATATTGTATAATTCAAAAAAGATAATCTCTTAATCAATTGCTATGACCCCTATGGACAGTTCGAATTTTCGATCTTTTTTAGTGCACATCACACAAACAAAATAGAATTTCACGCGATTTTCTACACCAGAAAAGATTGTGGATTATAAAGTATAATTAAGCCACGTTATGTATATGAATCCATATCAATATAATCAGTATCGGATATGATTGTGATTAGACACGCGATTCAGAAGCCTGAAAAGTTTATCCTACATGAGATTCCGTCAAAAATATCAAATCTATTGACTGACCCCTTATGCAGTTCATCCATTGAAGTTTATGCATTACTTTTGCGAAGTAAAATATCACAAGACACTAATGAATTAAGAAGTTTATTGACTGGTCTTGGCAGTAGGTTTTCTCAGTATCATCAGATTTGATTGTGATTAGATGCTTTATAATACTAAAATATCACGCATAGCTAGTTTATGGTATTGGCAGTAATTTTTCTAGAGAATTATTAGAATGAATTTTTGACATTGTAGTTGGTTTATTTATTGTCAATATTGAAAAGTTGAATGAAATACTTTAATTATATTATGTGATTAGAATTTGTAGAGATCGATATCACGCCAAAAAAGTTTACAACTGACTTTTGACAAAGTAAATTTCATGTTCAAATTTATCAAATGTATTTTAGAGAAATTGATAAATTAAAAAGTAAAATTCCACGTGATTTTGAAGTTTGGCCATATTATTGCATTCACAAAAAAGTCTTTGTAAAAAATACAATTTATTTGGGAAAATTTTCTGAGATCCTTCTATCAAAAGAAACAACAAGTTAACCAATGAAATTATCAAAATGTCGGAATTAAAGATCAAGTATCTCAAAATTTTGGCCAAGAAACTTACGAAACATGTAGTAAACTAAATCGGATCTTCAAAGTGCAAGAAAGTAAGTTTTGTTCGAATTCATAGATAATATAAATAATAGCCTAATTAAAGTAATTCAATGCATAATCGACTTTTAAAAAATGCTCTTGATAAAATTTACATATTGGTTAATAAAACTTTTCAATTTTTATATAGTTCGTGAAATTAATTCAGCACGTGATATGATAATATTTATATTTTTTGTTATTCAAAGAAATTCTTTGTATGATGTAAAATTATACTTTTAGGAATAATAAAAAACTTCTCAAGTATCTTTGAAAAACGAAAGCAAAAAATACATATATAAATATTTTTGAACTTTATTCTGACGTTTCTTATCAATTTAAGTATTAAATTTTTTATAAGAAAAATAGAATTTGTATGAAGATAATGAAAAAAGTATCAAGACGATTACTTCTACTTTCTGTGGCTATTACTATGCCTAATATACTTTAAAAAGTATTTTCATAGCCTTAGATCTAACTTGCTCCTTAATAAAATTAACGAGCTTTCCCATAAAATGAATAATAATTTTTATGACAAATTCTAAACAAATCATTATAAATTTATAAGCCTCAACCAAAAAAAAACTAAAAAAATCTTTCAAGCATATTTTAACAACTTCGGCAGCTTCCATTGCTTCCTTCGTTGGCGATAGAAGTGCTTTAACGAAATAAGATAGTGATTCGAAGAAATTACTTAGGTACCAATAACAAATTTTAATGTACTCGATAATTTCAAATGATCCATTCTTCTTATATATGACCACTTCTGATGGAGTCTTGATATCTATTCGTTAAAAACTTTATTATTAAACAAAATTATACTTATAGCTAAACGAACATAGAAGCATACCTGGCTTTTCTTTACTAATAATTAACGCCAACAAAATCACAAATAAAGTAGTAATCATAAAGATTTTGGTAAGAAATAGTACGAAGTTCATTTTTTTTGCAAGAAATAGTAAGAATTTCATCTTTCATCAAAAACAACGTGCAATCTTGCAAAAAATGAATCAGCCTTTATATGATAAAAATTCATATAACAAATATAAATTAAAAGATAAGTTCGTAAATATCACAGGTATATTTTGAATTAGCAATTTTATTTTACAATGTATTTTATTTACATAATTTGATTGAATTTCTAAATTCAGTATTGAACAGGTTTGTATTTATGGTTTTAATGTCATATTACTTTTGCCTTTTTTAAGCTATTCATATCGAGGAATTTTATGAATCGAAAATCGATGCGAGAATCTGATAAAAAGTTATTGATTATTTTAAAAATTTATATTTCTTACATGAATATAAAAATTGGCAAAAAATCCTCGTATGTTGCGAGACTATTTTCTTATAACCTGAGAATAACATGTATAAAAAAAATCGCATTTCTGTTAAAGAAATCCAAAACAAAAAAGTCGAATTTCTTCCAGATGAATATGAAAATTACTGCAGAATCCTGGATCCCATCGGTGAGAAAGGAGTTTTATTTTGTAAACAGAAAGCTGTTGTTCGTAATCAATTGGTAGAATTGAGTCAAAGTGATGATAAGATTATGAGCGCTGCCTACCGGTATTGCACCGAACTATGCAAGCTGCAAATTCAAACCCAACAGCCCCTACACATATACAACAACATAGCTATCAAAAACGAACCTAACAAATCAGAAATCGAAAAAACACCTATGACTATTCAAGAACCTGAAGACTCTCGTAACCCTAGGAACTGTTTCTTGAAAAAAATCGCATGCATATGTTTCATGTTGATAATTATTTTACTTATTATTGCCGGATTATTTTATTATGTAAGCGTGCAATGCCTACAGTTTTTAGATACACTCGTTTATAATATGTTAACGTTATTTTATTATTATTTTTTGCAGATAAAGAACGACAGTGATATGACAGACATCGTATGTAAATATATATTTACTTATTTAATATTTCCCATCCTATACTGAGTATATTTTATTAGAGGAAAAAGGTTGAAGAATTTAAGAACAAAAATCACGCTATAGAAAACATGCTATTGGTTATGAGAAATGAACACGAAAAAAAAGAGGAGATGATCGCGTATTTGGAAGCTGAAATACAAAGGAAGGAGAGTCAATATAACAAGTTAAGCTTCGAGTTCAATAAGATTGTCAAGATTCTAGAATTGGAAAACGACGAAAGACATCAAATATTGAAAAAAATCAAGGCGGAAATCGATAGTTGTTCAGATACATAGCAGTTTTGATTGGCTACATTTAGCATTTACACGTGATAAGTTTAAAGCATGTGATTACATTTCTGTTTTTTGTGTAAGGAATACATATTTGATAACACACAAAGTGTATAAAAATTGCTTATTTTAATATCATATAATTGGTAATAAAATGTGTTAGCTCGAGACTGAATATTTTTCTTTAAGTCAAGTTTTGACAAAATACTTAAACAAATTCGATTAAAATTTTTTTAAATAGCATATTTAGTAGATAAGTGAACAATAGGGTACGAAGACTTTATTTCCGACCGGAATAAACTTTTAATGTTTTATTCTAAAATAGTGCGAAATTCATACAATAAAAATCCAAATGTTACTAAGAAAAACGTCAAACCAGCTCTATTACATTAAAGAGCACATCAAAACAATTCAAATAAGCTTAATTTTATTGGTATATCTTTATTAGTTCGCGAGTTATTTAAAATTTACTAAGTTTTATTATAATATCAGGAAAACCATTTTTATTAAGATTTACTAATGATCTTGTAAATCATATAAGATTTCACCCCCTAAGGAACCGTCGATGTTACACGCATTTTTTTGTGAATTTATATTAATGAGAATGCGCTAAATAAATTAATGTTCATATATATGAGCAATAATTTATAATAATAATTAAAGCAAATACAGTACTAAAGCAACAAATCAAATTCGAAATAATCACAATCTTTACTAATTTTATTGGTACTGTACAAATTTTGAAGATCACTTTCGAAAATATCACCAAAATGTTAAAATCCCCACCTGATGAAAAAAATTTCCTAGGTCCTTTAAGAGTACACTAGAATCTCAAACGCAGATAAAATGAATAAAGTAACTATGCCTTATGTTGGTACATAAATTTATATTAACAAAATTATTTGCCGTTATCGAGTCTTAAGAAAGGCATTTCATAACCACGCATGGGACCTGCAGTAGGGATGGGAATCGATTATCGAAAATCGGATATTTTAAAATCGATTTTAATAATCGATTTTGAAACGAAAAATCGATTAATCGGTTATGATAATCGATTTTGTAATTAAAATCGATTTTGGTAAAGTAATCGATTTTAATAAATAAAAACACAAATTCTTAAAATTAAATTATCATTTTATATATTATATTATTATTGATTTTTTATTATTTTTATATATGAGTGACGAAAAGGGAAAACCTGTAAATCATTTCACTCGTTGAGTGAGATTTTCCCTTTTCGTCACTCATATTAAATTATATATTATATTATTATTTATATTTTATTTATTATACATATTTTATTGTTTTATATTATTTATAATTTTATAAATAAATATTATATTTAATAAGTTACATTCAATACTAATATTAAATTAATCTATATAACAGATTAAATCTATTAGAAAATGATAAAATAATATTCATAACATAATATATTTTAATCAAAGATGCCTAATTAACTAAAATAAATCAATTTTAAAAAGTTTATATCGATTAATTAATTTTTTTATCCGATTAATCGATTAATCGGTTAAGTTATCCGATTACAAAATCGATTTTGATTTCAAAATCGATTCCCATCCCTAACCTGCAGTATGAAAGAGTTTAGGATGATATTCGGGAGTTTCCGACATAACACTAAGAATATGATCATAATATAAATTTCTGTTGTTATATAGTGATAAAAAAAAACCTCATTGATATATGTACCAGGCATTTCTAAACTTTTCAATAAGGGCGTTTTTGCCCTGGACATTGGCATACGATAATTCACAAATCTTTTCAGAGTTGAAACTCGGCCTTTTAAAAACGTTATTATTTGTTACAAGGGCTGCGTGATAATTGTATAAAAACTTGAGTAAATAAATGTCGTGGCCAATTGCAGTTATACGGGGTCTTCGTTCGCTCCACTTAGACAGAACACTCACTTGGCGCTGGCGTATC